GTGATTTGGGAAATAATCATGTCCTCAAGCGAGCAGTGAGTTGGGGTGGGGAGGTAGCTGGGTGACCTTGCAGGGGCTGCTGTGCCAGGGATGAAGGAGGCAGAGCAGGTCCAGAGCACATCTTGGGGGCAAAGGGGGCTGTGGGCTAGTCAGTGGGTGCAGGCTGGGCTCAGTGGGGGTCTGAGTGGGATGGGAATCCTGTCCTGCCACCCCTTGCCCATCCAGGCTGCTGCCAGGCTTGTATTGGGGATTTCTCTTTGCCTTGGGTGTGTGCTTAATTTTCAGCTCAGCCTCCTGTGCAGATTGCTGGAGTGTGTATGTAAGTCTCTGTGGCTTTACTTCTATTTAGCAACAGTGCCTAAACAGAAGGTGACCTCTGGGGCTGTACTGGGCAGGGGGTGACTGGCAGTGGTGTGGGGCCCTGGCAACCTGGGGATTTCTTGCTTGCCCAAGAGCTGCTGTCACACATCAGTTCCTTTCCTGGGCAAGCTGGAAGGAGCTGGGGTGTGAGCAGGGAACGCTGGCAGCCAGGGCTGGAGTCGCAGCTCCTCTCACTGATGTTTTCAAAGGTTCACGCGTCTAAATGACTTCTCAGCAGCTGTCCTCCTTGGAGACCCGCTTTCTTGAAAGATGATACTGCTCTTATAATTAAGGTAATTGTTTAAATTCATTCCCTTAAACTGGACCCCATCATAACTTAACCAACTGTATCTATGCAAGCATGGGGGAGGTTGAAGAGGGTCAGGGTGGATGGCATGAGATTGATTCATCATCCGGAAAGATTTATAGGTAAAAATCTTATTAAACTGAAATGCCTAATAAAGATGCAGGGGAAAATCACATAGAGGGCATAACCTGGGCAGGCAGCTGCCATTTGTGCTGCGTTGACTGACAGGGGGAATGTCACCCCTGCAGCCAGATGGAAAGATGTGCTCCAAGCCTCCCCTGCCCTGCTCATCTTCTGCCCAAATAGCAGGTAGGTCTGCACACGCTTGGGCTGTATTAGGATATTTAATTTCCTTTCTCACTTACCCTGAATGCTTTCTGATTTTGTGGAAATCTGAAGGTAATTGAATGTAATTGTTTAAAGAATCAAGTTATTTAAATTATAGCGTAATTCTTGAAATAAGGTGACAATCTGTGGGAGTTTATTGATGTTGGTGGTGGATGGAGAGTGGTGGAGTGATGTGTGCCAAACTGCTCTGCACAGGGCTGCAGAGCTGGCTGTGCCATGGAGCCTGTGGCTGAGGTGCGACAATGGTGCAAGGTCAGGATCCAGCATGATCCTCTGTGATACTCAGCAAAGCCTGGATCATGGCCAGGTTTGTCTTCTGTCTGAAATGGCTTGGGCAGTTCAGCAAGAGCTGGTGGCTCAGTCCCAATTTGAGGCTGTTTCAGGACATCTAGGGGGAATGACAGAAATTACCTGGGGATAAGGGCTGTTCCCCTACCTGTTCTCCCTTGCTACATGGATGGCAATGGGCATCTGAGACCCCAACCAATGGAACTACCAAAAGAGGAGCCTACAGCAAAGAGCATAGCAGGGCTTTCATGTGGCTGCTGGTATTTCAGATGTGATGGTAAAAGTTATGTATGTGGCACAGAAGGATACCCACCTAGTCTGGAGGCAGGCAAGCAAAGCCCTTGTGCCCAGGAGATCAGACAAACGAGGGGCTAATCTAGCACTTAAAAATCCATGTCCAAACCCTGAGTGTTGAGCTGCCTCCCTGCTGATCATTAAAACCCTGGTCCTTCATCCCTCACTATACTATCACCTGCCCTAAAAGCCCACATCAGGTGGCTGTTCCTGTTCAGAGGAGGCTGTGAAGACAAGTAGTGGAGGGAGAGGTTGAAAAATAATCAGTACAAAATAGGCGACATACAAATATCAGAGTACTGATGAAAAGAGCATGGAAGTGGATGGAGGACACAATGAAGAGGACTTGTATTTAAAAAAAATGTCTTTTGAGATTGATGATGGCCTGTGGCTCAAATAGTTGGGGAAGCAGCAGCAGGAGGCAGGAGACTTCAGTTGTTTTCCTTGCTCTGCTGCTGCCTGCCTCTCTGTGCAGAGATCCTTAATATTCCTCTGCAGTGTCATCTTCATTTGCAAGCCTTATGCTAACAGAGGAAAGTATTTCAGTGTTTTTGAGGCTGTGACATCTAATGCCTCACATAAACAAGACCTTTTCTTTCCCTCCCTCACCCACTTTATCACCTTTTCCACTTTTATTTGGAGATTAATCAAGTGATTAAGTTGCTCAACCATATTTCTGGTGTTTGGTTGGCAGATTTACTTGGGCAGCAATTTAAAGCTCCCCTACCTCCTCCATCCACTCTTCTCCTCACCCCAGCATCAGGTAAGTCTGTGTGTGTGTGTGAGGGTGGTGTGAACCAGCCTTGGGTGGAAGGACCAGCCTTGGGTGGAAGGGCCAGCCTTGGGTTGAAGCCACCAATGGGTGACCATGGCTTCTCAGGTGGCCCCGAGACTCACCTGAGTATGCCACAAGCACACAGGCAGACTGTTCCCCTGCACCATCCTGGGCACAACCGTCCCCTTGGCTCCATCTCTGGCTCACTCCCTGTGCCCCTCACTCCTCTCTTGTGAAGCCTGAGATCTGGGAATGAGCCTTGGACTTGACTCCATAGCAGATGTAAATACATTGAACCATTCCCCCAACATTAATTCACCTGCCCTTGCTTTCAGCTGTTAAGCTGCTCTCCAGACCAGCTGTATGTTTTAAACCAAAATTCAAGACTCCTTAAACTTTAAATTCAAGGCTGTCCAATGAGCCCTCCAAAGAGCACAGTCCAAGGAATTCTTCAATCCCTCACTGAGCAGAACTTGCTCCCAAAGTAGTGGGTATTTGGCTGGTTTGAGACCTGCAAAATTACACACGGCATTAACCACAGCAGTGATGAAAAAGCAAAATTTCCACTTTGATCTTGTGTTGCATTGAATTAATATGATATTTTTTGTGAAAGGCCACAGCTGATGCCTCCGTGCTGTGAGGTTGTGCCAGCCTGCCCGTGGTAAATGATATCAGTAACATGGTGTGACACAAACAACAGCACTGGGTGTGACAAGCCACAGCAGAAATGCATCTGTGGAGGCAATGTGACATGGTTAAGACTCATGCTCAAAATTTTAAATGACTTACAAGAGAAGTGAGGTTTTTTAAAAGATCCTGTCACAGTTTTTTGTAATCACTAGTACTTTTCCCCATTTATCCTGTTAGGGAACTTAAAACAGGAATTTGCATGGTGTCTCAGTTGCCTCTATTTTACTCTGGTGTGGGAATCCATGAATGCTGGCCCACTGAAAAAAGAAAAAAGAGAAGAGGGAAAAAGAGGGATTACAGGTCTTTGCCAGGATGAAGGTTGGGCTGAGGAACCTTTGTGTACTTCCTTACCCAGTATGTTCACAAGCAGCATGGGTTTCATACACCAGTAGCAGGAGGCAGAAAACAGTTGTTTCAATTCTGTGTGAATATGTGAATACATTTTTACACACCTATAATGTCTGTCAAGTTTATAGCAATGCAATAAAAAAAAAAGATAATAGGTACCACTTTGTTTATCCTCAATTTTCCAAACCTCAGAGTTTTTTTTCTTTAAATGTACAGAGTTTTTCTCTAGCCATGACTGTAAGAAACAATACCCTGACCATCCTCCTGAACTTGCAAGGGACTGGCGGAATGAACTTGAGCATCTCACCTTGGTCAGTCACTGGTGGGCAGATGTTTGCCCTCCTCCCCTCTGCCAGGGAGGGGTACCAGCAAAACCCAGGTGCTTATTGCTACAGATGGTCCAGGATTTGTAGTTTCTTGCTTCTCCTCTTCTTCCTTGGTAAATAAAACAGGCTTAATAGTCATCTCATCTTTTGTGGTGGCAAGTCGAAAGTAACTCCCCTAAAATCCATAAAGCCTGACTAGCACAAAACCATGCAGGAACCACGAAATCAGTAGAACCAGTGGCTGCGGCTGCAAGCCTGTCTGATGAGGCACTCATGGGACTGGAAAGAAAGAGGTGAGGAACACATTTGGTTGCCATGAATACTGAGTAACAATATATGTGAGCATGTGAAGCGGGCAGCGGGGAGCTGTGCAGCGCTCACAAACAACTGTGACAAGTCCCTTTGCTGGGATAATTTGATCTAGCACAGTCAATGGAGCATGGCAGGATTATTATGATCATTATTTATCATATGTACTGCAGAAATTTTTTTTTTGATGGTGAGAGCTGCTAGTGTTGTGCTAAATAAGAGAAGATCTGGTGCCTTCTGTGATGAGTGACTGGAAATTCAATGAAAAGCCACTCCTGCATTCTGTCCAAATGCCATGGCATGGTTGCGATAACTGATAGTTCTGTATATTACGGATATCATTGTCTGGCCATACCTGTAATATTCTCCACACAGCCAACTCTGTGTGCTTGTGTACAAGTACCTGTGTGTGTGAGTGAACAGCACTGTACACACATTAGTGTTGCCAGCAAAAAGACTCCAAGAGCTATTCCCCCAATTTCCATGTAAATTATCCAAAACTAAGTGACTGGTCCTTCCCATCCATGGCACATCACATAAGCTCATCATCAGGCCAGGCTGCTGCAGGAGTGGGACAAAGGGCTGATGCTACAGTCTGGTTTCCATGGCAACAGAGGAGGGGTAGTGAGACCAGAAATGTTGCAAACACCCCTTTTTCTCACTGCAGCCCAATGCACTGTATTGCAAAAGACAGTGCTGTTTTGAGGGGGGTTGAAAGGTGGGAAGAGTCCAAATGCCTTTACCTTTCAGGTTGCAGAGTTCTTGAAATAAAAAGAAATGGCAATTTCTTTTCTCGATGTAGTTGCAAATAGAAAGGAAACCCACCACGCAGGCCTCGTTTTCTGCGTGTTAAATGCGTGTGTTCTTTAAAAGGCAGTGGTTGGCTGCTTTTCCGGACATGATGTGGTTGAAGCTGTCATCGTAATGGAAATTCATTGCTGTAGCTATGGTAAATCGAGTTTTCTGCCTGTGCTGAATGCATTAGTCTAATGAGATGTTTGCAGCTGGAGAGCTGAGCTGCTGGAGACTTACACTATGCTAAAAGACAGGGAGAAGATGGCTTTTGCTGGGATCTCTGTGACAGTGCTGAAAGTCCTCTGCCCTTTGGGTCCCAGTGTCTGGGCTCTCTAAAGACTCTGCTCAGTGTTTTAGCCTAAGCAATAGGTAAGGGGAAAGCATGCTTCTTCTTTTTCTTCTTCTTCTCTGCCTGGTGTTTGTCATCGAGCCTTGTGGGAGCAGTTCTTGTTCTGCCTGTCTGTATGTGGTAACTTTGCAGTTCCTCAGTTAGAGACTCTCTTTGCCAAAGCACACCCTTACTGAGCCCTGGGAACAGTTCGTGTGAGGAGAGGGGCAGCAGATCCGCCTATGCTGCCGGCTTGTGCTGCGCGGCAGCAGCAGCGGGAGTGTGCCTCTGTGTGTGTGTGTGGTGTGTGTGTGTGTGTGTGTGTGTGTGTGCATGAGGTGGTGAAGACTTCTAACTACAGAGCACTCTGCATGAAGTGTGACTTCGGGCTTTTCCAAAAAAGTTGGTTTGGGTGGTTTTTTTTTGGCTGCCAGGTAAATGCCTCTTTCATTTTAAAAGCCACTTATGTTGCAATATACATAGCAAACAGTATTTACATCACATATTCTGGGGTTTAGTATAGTTCATAGAGCAATGAGCTTAATTATAATCTCCTCATATCTTCAAATCAGATGCTAAGTTGGATTTTTTTCCTTAACTGAAAACTGGAGGGAGTGATACTGTTTATACGCTGGGTCTTTCCTTCGAGACTTATGAAACGAGAGATGCCAAGGAGCACACTTTAGCACAGTTGTCTATGTTTGTCTTTTCAGGTGTTTTAAAGCTAACTTTCAGAGAGGACGGAGCACAGGGAGGCAATGTGCGGGGGCACCTGGCTAACTCTGATGGTCCCTCCTTAGCTCTCAAGCCCCTGCTGCCATCCCAGCCTGCAGCCTACCGCTCGCTGACAGACGGTGAAGCCTAGCGTGGTTCAGTGAGTATTTTTGCCTTTGAGATCTGGGCACTGTCTCCCTTTCCATCGCTGATGAATGGCTGTGAGGGTTGGTTTCTTTGCCTGGGGCTCCTCTGATGGCAACGGGTCCGGAAGAAAGAAGTTGCTTTTGGGATTGATGCATGTGGGACTTGTGGTAGGAATAAAGTTAATCTGGTGAGCTGCAGGAGGAAAGTTGCTTGAATTCTCAGCTTGGAGGGGGATTGCTGCTTAATCCTGGGTTTATTTCAAAGAGGCTTATGAAGACATTTTTCTCAAGGATAGACCAAGGTCTTTTCAAATTGAATTAAGGCATAGTGAAAGAGGTAAAGCAAAGAAAGGAATGTTGTTTGTGGGAGCAGAGCTGAAGTCTAAAAACTATCTTTGTGCTACAGGAATACTTAGAGCATCCTGCATCCCACTGTGTCGCCAGTCCCTGGTGCAGCTAAGCACTAGGCAATCAGATGTTGGCGTAAATCAGCATAAGTTCCTTGGCTTCAGCCTCATCTGACACCAGCTGAGGATATGGCTTGGAGATTAGCAGATTCAGATTTTGTGATCTTATTTAGATGAGGTGCTTCCTAGTCCTCTCCAGGTGCAGGTGACTTTGTATTTTAATTCAGATGTCACACTGATTTTCCCAATCAGGCGGAGTGCCTCTGCCCCATCATACAAGTTATTTAGCTGATACACATGTTCTTCAGATTAGAAAGGCTGCCAAGGACATAAGCTTTTTAGTGATGGAGTGTAGAAGAGGGACTGGAAAAAAATCAACCAACAGGAAAAGTACATGTGCTGAATGAGATCAGAAACTTTGCAGAAGGTATACCTTGAGAAACGCTTTGTTGGTGAGCACAGTAACTCAGATATTTCTGTTCTGTTTACTGGAAATGTTTAGTTCAAGTACTTCCTTGTGTTTTGTGGGGAAGAGTGGGTAAAAAGAGGCAATTTTCTTCCTTGGGCAATCAGTGACTTGCTATGAGGTTTCTTACCTACTGGGAACACATGACTATTCAGGTGCTTGTTTGTGGCTATGGGACCAGAAAGAAGAAATTGCAATGGGAAGTTTTTCCCTCAGTTCCATGTTTGACACAGAAATTTGGGGTTTTTTTACATATTAAAAAGAAAAAGTTTGAAAGAGAAACATGATATAGCACCTGATCATGGTATGTGGGGATACCCTGAGCTTCAGGAGGCTGAGATGTGACCTTACACAGATGTCTCCCCAGCATTTTCCCTCCCTCAAATGTAGGTAATATTAAAAAAAGGGAAGAAAACCAAGATGATCACAGGTTGGAAAGTGAAGTCACAAAGTGGGGTGTGGAACAGTTCTCCATTCAAGCCTGGTAACAGGAGACAGGCAAGCTCTGCCAGCTGGGCTCCTGCCCTCTCCCTCAGCCAGCGCTACTGGAGAGAGGCAGCTGAACAAGGGCCTCGCTGCTGGGACAGTGTCTGCCCTCGGTGGGGATGTGTCCATTCTTCTCATTCCTGGCCATGCTGGGACCTCTGGCATTCTTGCAGACTCCCCCAGCACCCAGCTCTGGTAGGATGCAACTCAAACCCAATAATAGAAAATGGGATGATTTAACTAATTTGTTGAATCATCAGAGTTGAACTTTGATGATCCTTGTGGGTCCCTTTCAACTTAGGATATTCTATGATTCTAATTCCACAGCATCACCACTTCTCAGTGGGCTCTGCCCAGAGGTACTCAGGGGCTCCTTTCCAACTGTGAACTCACATCTCTAAGGCTAACCCATCTTCCTAACACTAGTTTGGAAACTTCCAGTGTACTTTAAATGGAAGACTGAGGCGCTCCTCCTGCAAATGATGGGAACCCACACATGCCTGACAAGTGAATATGAGGCATAAAAGCACAGTTCATGTAAGGAAGAGCTTCAGGAAATAGTTGATGTGAGTAAGACAGCAATGATTTCTGTTAAAAATTGAATGAAGCAAAATGTTTATATTTGATAACACTGAAGTCAGTAAAGCCCTGTTATCTTCAGGGGATTTTAGTTCACTTTCATAAAGTATACTCAATGGCCACATGTTGTCTTAAAAAATAAAAAAAAAGAAGAGAAACCCCCCCCCAATTCCATAGAATCCTGCCCTACAGAAGTAGTTCTCTAGAGCTTTAAAACAGTGCAAAGGAGCCAGCTTTATTTACATAAAACACTCCCAACTGAGTTCTCCAGCTGACCATTAAGAGCAGGTGCAGCATTTAACAGGTGAATCTCCTTACAGTGAGAATGAAGAATAATTGGTTTACTTATGCAAAGAAAAATATTCCAGGCTCACCTTGAAGGGAAAAATTAATTACATGTATTAATTCTGCCATAACAAGTTGCCTTATGTGGACTTTGTTTCCTGTACAAAGGAAGCAAAATTTTCTCTTTATTTTGCTGTATATTAAAAAGAAACTTCATTAAAAATTATGTGTGAAGAGATTACACACTGTTCTGTCAAACAGAATCATGATATATGGGTGCACTAAAGGACTGGCTAATTTGCTGTTGACTAATAAAATTGAAAAGAATTTATACTCTAATCTAGCATCTTTGAACCAAATTTTTCTATGGATGAGAATGACTGAATGGAAAAGAGGCAATGTGCAGTGAAGGTGAAGTTATAATTTACTAATTAAAGATTTAAAGTTCTGATATTCTTTTCTTTTAATAAAATCTCATAAAGATGATGAACCTGTAAGTCATTCATTAAGATTGGCTGTTCCCTTTAGGAACTAATGTAAATTTGGCCCAAATAAAGGATTGCCCAGAGAGAATCTGGATGTGTAATTATGTTCCACTGAAGGATGAATAATTCCTCTTGAACTGAACAGTTTGCTGTTGCCCTGCAGTTTATACTGACCCCATCTTTAAAGGTGATTCTCATCATGCAGAAGAAATGGTGCTATAAGTGCTAGAGTGTTTCTCCCTGCCTAGGAGTTTGTTGCTCCGTTCACTTTGGGTATGGGATGCAAAGGATGGGGTTTCCTTCCCAAATTAGTTGGCAGTGCGGCCAGGAATATGCCTCTGGTTTCTTGCTTCTCTTACCTGGCACATGCATGGACACCAGTATGCTTGGCATGCAGAACGTCAGACTGACAAAGCTTTTGCAGGAGCCAGCCGTTGCTCTTGTTGCTTCAAGTATTTATATATATGGGGCTCCCAGGAGTATTCCCTGGCACTGTCTTCATTTACAACATGTGTGACTGAAATTGAGCATTTGGAGCTTGCCCCTAAATTTCTCTGGATGCTTTGGTTACTCTTCTCCTCACAGAGGGTCTGCTTCCCTCTGCATCTTGGCGTACACAGACCCTGGGTGCCCACGCAGATCTGCTGCAGCTGGGGGCAGGAGGAAAGGGGACTGAACTGGGTGCAGGGCAGAGGGAGGGCTAAGGTCTCACTCCTTTGTTAACCCTGTCCTCACATGCAGGCGCTGTCCACCTTCCTGCCACCATGCTGCAGCTCCCAGATCCCATCTTGGGAGATGAGCAGCTGGCTAAGGCCACCTGCAGCTCTATCCCAAATGTGTTCTGGTAGAGATATATTTTTCTCTACATCTGGAAGTGAAGCAATGCCTGGCTCTCTACATTGGCTCCCATCTCAGCACAGGGTGCTGGGGAGTAGCAGCAGCTCAGCTGCTGGACTTCTGCTGGCACCTGTGAAAGCTTTGCTTTCCCAGAGAGAGTTACAGAGGGGTAATCCTACAGCACATGAAAGAATAGGTGTTTCCTTGTGACATCATCCATGATTTCTAAAAATTTGTAAAAAATCAGCTGTATTTCTCTGTGTCATGCTCCTTGGATGTGAGAGCAAGTGTGCACGTGCCTTTTGCTGCGAGTTGGGTCTCTGAGAGCTACCCTACCTCTCTGTTATGTAAATACATTTTTCTAATGCTTGCTTTCATCTCTCCATGTCTCTGCTTGTGTGCCAATGGTGTGAAGGCCGTACAACAAAAACGTGTCATATTTTACTTGGCGGGAGGTGCAGGGAATGTACGAGATGCCTTCTTCTTTCAGCCCGTCTTCCTGCAGGTGTCACCCACCCAAGGTTTCAGTGTGAGTGCTTTCTCTTTGAAAAGTGGTTTGGATTTAATGGTGAGGACATTTAGGACATTAATGGTGATGACAGGCTGTCCCCTCACCTCACCTACCTGTCTGCCTGCCTGCCTGCCTCCTTGCCAGGGAGGATACCACAGGCAGGTAGGTTTTAACCCAGACCTTGTCTTGTGATGCGGGCAGATTCATTGATAATCACCGTAGTTGTCATCCTAAGAGGCTCCAACAAATGTTTAGGGACTCTATAAACTCCCAGTCTGAGGAAATGTGTCATTCAAACACCTAGCTTATCAAGGCAGGAGAGAGGAAAAGTGGGAGTGAGACCACCACTGGTCTTGTTTGCTGGGTTGCTACTTCTGTCCCTTTGCCCCAAAATCGGTGTCTTGGCTATCCTCTGCTCTCCGAGTGTCTCCTGCTCCTCTCTGACCCCACAGCGCAGCCTGACTTTGGGGTAGAGTGGGCAGAGCTGAGCCATAATGCGAGTACTGTGTGCTACAAGAAGCACTGGAGGCTCTCCTGGGGAGGCAGCAGGGGGGTACAGCAACACTGGGAGGGGCACAAGCTCCTTTGTAGTGGGGGCTCCATTTTACAGAGTTGGTGTGTAAAATGATTTGATTTCCAAAGTATAATCAATCAGAGGTTTACTGCATCAGCACCAGTGGGCACTGTGGGGAGAGAAACATGACTGGAGGCAGAGAGCAAAGATTTGGGAGGGAGTCTTCAAACCTGGTCAAAGACAATAGTTGGACAGAAGAGATTTTGACAGGAGAGACAGGCACTGAATGGCAGAAAGGGGAGCTCTGCGGTCTTAGATAAGGTTAAACCCAAAAGGCAACATTACAAGAGGAGATTTCATGTTAAAGAACCCAAGAGATTGCTTAGGGGTTTTTTTGTTTGTTTGTTTGTTTGTTTTTTGGGTTTTTTTTGTCTCTGCTATTAT